AAGAGAACCTCGAGAAAGCGTGGCACATGAGACCAAAAATATGAATAACAGTCAATAATCAACTCAAGAGTAACATCTAATGCAAGAGAACCATGAGAAAGCGTGGCACATGAGACCAAAAATATGAATAACAGTCAATAATCAACTCAGAGTATAACATCTAAATGCAAGAAGAACCAGAGGAAGCGTGGCACATGAGACCAAAAATTGAATAAACAGTCATATATCAACTCAGAGAAATCTAATGCAGTAGAACACGAGAAAGCGTGCACAATGAGACAAAAATATGAATAACAGTCAATAATCAAACTCAAGAGTAAATCTAATGCAAGAGAACCACGAGAAAGCTGGCACATGAACCAAAAATGAAATAAAGTCAATAATCAACCAGAGTAACATCTAATGCAAGAGAACCACGAGAAAGCGTGCACATGAGACCAAAAATATGAATAACAGTCAATAATCAACTCAAGAGTAACATCTAATGCAAGAGAACACGAAAGCGTGCACATAGACCACAAATATTGAATAACAGTCAATAATAAACTCAAGAGTAACATCTAATGCAAGAGACACGAGAAAGCGTGGCAATGAGACCAAAAATATGAATAACAGTCAATTAATCAACTCAGAAGTAACATCTAATGCAAGAGAACCACGAGAAAGCGTGGCACATGAGACAAAAATATGATAACAGTCAATAATCAACTCAAGAGTAACATCTAATGCAAGAGAACCACGAGAAAGCGTGGCACATGAGACCAAAAATATGAATAACGTCAATAATCAACTCAAGAGTAACATCTAATGCCAAGAGAACCCGAGAAAGCGTGGCACATGAGACAAAAATATGAATAACACGTAAATAATCAACTCAAGAGTAACATCTAATGCAAGAGAACACTGAGAAAGCGTGGCACATGAGACCAAAAATATGAATAACAGTCAATAATCAACTCAAGAGTAACATCTAATGCAAGAGAACCAGAAAGCGTGCACATGAGCAAAATATGAATAACAGTCAATAAATCAACTCAAGAGTAACATCTAATGCAAGAGAACCACGAGCAGGTGGCACATGAGACCAAAAATATGAATAACAGTCAATAATCAACTCAAGAGATAACATCTAATGCAAGAGAACCACGAGAAAGCGTGGCACATGAGACCAAAAATATGAATAACAGTCAATAATCAACTCAAGGAGTAACATCTAATGCAAGAGAACCACGAGAAAGCGTGGCACATGAGACCAAAAATATGAATACAGTCAATAATCAACTCAAGAGTAACATCTAATGCAAGAGAACCACGAGAAAGGTGCACATGAGACCAAAAATATGAATAACAGTCAATAATCAACTCAAGAGTAACATCTAATGCAAGAGACCACGAGAAAGCGTGGCACATGAGACCAAAAATATGAATAACAGTCAATAATCAACTCAAGAGTACATCTAATGCAAGAGAACCACGAGAAAGCGTGCACATGAGACCAAAAATATGAATAACGTCAATAATCAACTCAAGAGTAACATCTAATCAACGAGAAACCACGAGAAAGCGTGGCACATGAGACCAAAATAGATAAAGTCAATAATCAACTCAAGAGTAACATCTAATGCAAGAGAACCATCGAGAAAGCGTGGCACATCAAGAGTAACATCTAATGCAAGAGAACCTCGAGAAAGCGTGGCACATGAGACCAAAAATATGAATAACAGTCAATAATCAACTCAAGAGTAACATCTAATGCAAGAGAACCATGAGAAAGCGTGGCACATGAGACCAAAAATATGAATAACAGTCAATAATCAACTCAGGAGTAACAGCCAATGCAAAAACCCCTCGTGACATTAACTCTGGTTAAATTTCATTAAATCATCATAAATTTCCACGTGCATAACAAGTTTCCCAATCAGATATTTACACTACAAATTTCAGAGAGATTTCCTCTTGCACCCTGAATCTCAGTGCAAGTTTATTTGTCGGAAATTTACGCTACGAATTTCTTAGAAATTTCTTTCCACTGAGATCTACATGCCAGATTTCAGCTAATTTTTTTGGGTAATGATCTCATTAACTTTTAACTTGTTTTTGATATCGAATTGCAACGAATTTTAGACGTTTGCTTGATTTGCCCTTGATTTTGAATTTCAAGGGGAAAATGTCGATTTAGGACTAAAATTAGCGACTCTTTTTGCACTCGGGCTGTTTCCATTAGATTATTTAGAAGTGGAAGTGTTATTGAGAATTTCAGGTATAAAAGCAAGTTAACCCATAAGACTGTTAAGATAGGAATTGAATCGTTTTGGTCCTTTCTGTGAGTAGCAGGTTTTGCTCGAAATCGATCAATCAGTCTTTGTGCCAAAGTTTATGCTTCGTTTTACAATCTTCCTGCGGCGTGGTAATTTTCGATTATGAAACCTTGCAAATATTATTCGAGAAATTCTCTGTCGGTTAATCGGATGCTTTTAGTAAAATATTGAATTTCTCCTTAGTGCCTTAGTTCTGTTACAATGGTAGGCCGATTGATCGTTCGATTTGGTCTGTGATGCAGGCTACACCATGCTCGCGCGCTGCTGGCAGAATGTCAAACAATAGCCCATCGATGGCAGTTGACAGAATTTGTCACTTCACAATGGCTGTCCGATTGTGAACGGAAATGTGCGCGCCAAAGTAGCAAAGGTCAAGGTGACATTTCCGCCCTTTTGCCTCGAGGCCGAGTGCTTGAGTTTATTCCGACGGTTTGCAGGCATGAAAAGAGATCTTCGAAGAATTTTCGCTACTTTCAGAAATAAACATGGTAGAACACAGAGCGAGCAAATTTAATAGTGGTTCGATCAAAATGTAATTCGTTTCCTCATCTTATTTCGTAATTTCTGGCATCTGAGTTGCCTTCAAGGCTTTTAAGCAGAAAAGAGATTCTATGACCTTTATTCAATCTTGATTTTATCGAAAACCGGAGTAAACAAACGAACTAAAGACTATTTTTGAAAATTGTGATAGCATATATAAAATGTTAATGATCTAAATTTTTAAAAGAGATTCAAAGAAATCGACCGAAAGCTGTTGCATTTTTAACTCCCCGCCTGTTTTGGCGGGCAGCTGATTGATTATAGGTCTGCAGTTATCAAATTCTTTTATGCAATTCTTTTCATAGTTCTGGCTCACAACACCTGCATGAAAGTACCTTAAAGCAAGCAGATTTCAGCGGAAAATAGATAGAAAGAGGGTAAATTTTCTTAAGTTCCTCAAATGACGATTATATTCTGTTTTAAAAGTAAGAGCGCGCTAAAGTTAGCTCTTGTTTAAAGGTTAGGTCTTGTATGTACATTTGAACTTTTATGAAGGGTCAGTAGAAAATCATTTCACATTGGAAAATTCATCCAAGTTAGCTACTGCACAAACTGCAATTTACAACTGATTTTATAATAACACTGTTAATCTGAATTAAGATTTACTTTTAACATGCTTTTAACGATTTACTCTTCAAATTTTTATTTTCAGATTTGGGCAGCAGGATAATGCCATTATCAGTGATCAGCTTTGTTGTGATGTATTCAAGCACACAAGACGAAAAGGACCATGGAGATGTTCTCAAGATCAAATCCCCCCATTGGAGACCAAAGCTCTGTATCATCTCACTGGATTGCTTGATGAGAGAATGAGGCAAAAAATGTGGAAGAAAGCAAACAAATTTGAAAGAATAAAAGAGTTCTCCAACGAAACGCATGCCATCAAAAGGGCGAAAACAGAAACATTTGTAAAAGAGGACTACGATGATTGAAAGTAGGTAGAGGATTTCAACAAAGTACGTTCACAAAAATTATTGTGTGTACCCATAACGTAGATGGACTGAAAATGTATTACCAGATAAATTATTAGTCATAGAATACGTTTTTAGCTGAGTAGTTTTGAAAAATTATGTTTTTCTTTAATATCCTTTTTCCAAATATGCGCTATTAAAGCAGCCATTTCACTTTCCACCTGAGCATATGAATCTCCATCCCCTCCACTCTTTCTGACAAATATAAACGGTTATAATAAGAACTTAATCAAATAGGTTTATTCCACAAATTGTTTTTTAATTGTTTCATCTATTGTTGTTGACTTATCTTAACTTGGCAATTACAGTAGTCCATACATGTCATGTCAGTCCACTCTTCTTATCCGTAGATGTATAAAATATGAACTTATTTTATTGTTAGTAGCATTATTGGTGTCTTCACCATTAAATGTTCTGATAATTTTCATGGAAATGAGTTTGATACATCTTCTTTGAAATTTATCTGATATTTTCTCAACCTGCCGATCTTTTTTGCGTGGTTTTATTTAGGAAAACAGTTTTGAAATTTTAAAAACATCAAAGTTTATAAGATAAAGCTGAATTTTTTGAGCCGTTTCCAAAGGTAAAAAAAGGATAATAGGGTTTTTCGGAAACTCAGATTTATTCAGTATTATTTGCATAAAAAAGATAAATTTCTGAGCCGTTTCCGTAGGTAAGAAATTATAATTTCTTGGAAATTTCTTTTTATTCTGTATCATTTGCCTATAAAAAAGTTAAATTTCAGAGGTTTTCTGTAAGTAAGAAACTGGGGTTTTTTGGAAACGTAAATTTATTTTGTAAAAATGGCATAGGAAATGTTAGATTTCTTATCGTTTCCGTTGTAAGAAATGCCAACGTTTCTAATGTGGCACTTGGTGGAAACGGAAATGTACCTTTCTGCTGATTTATGATGTCGAAAACTGCTTCAGAAATTCTAAGTTTCTTACAAATTTTTTTTGGTGAGATTGGTAGAAACTTTTCGTTTCTGAGCAATTTCTGTAATTAAAACTATAAGGAAACTTCGGCTTTTCTTGCCGTG